CTAGAATTGAAGAATGGAGATCATGTAACCTATCCTAGTGCAGTTTCTAAGTCAAAATTACTGCATAGTAGGCTGGGTCATTGTAGCTACACAACTATGTCACAAATGCACAAGCATAGCATGGTTGAAAACATGCCTTCCGTTGTTAGTGAAGATGGCGTGTGTTGTGTTTGTGAGAAAGGAAAATCTAGCAAGAGTTCATTCAACAAAGATGGAGTGAAGAGGGCCAAAGATAAGCTGGAGCTCATTCATTCTGATATTTGTGGTCCTATGAGTGTTGAATCACTAAATGGAAGCAAGTATTTTTTATTGTTTATTGATGATTATAGTAGGACAACTTGGTGCTACTTTCTGAAGCAAAAATCTGAAGTGTTTAATCACTTTGTTGCTTTCAAGAAAGCAGTTGAAAAAGAAGCAGGGAAAGTGATTAAAGTTTTCAGAACTGACAACGGTGGAGAGTTTTGCTCTCATCAGTTTGAATCTTTTCTGAAGGATCATGGCATAGTTCATCAGAAAACTAATCCTTACACTCCTCAACAAAATGGTGTAAGTGAAAGGAAGAATAGAAGTGTGATGAATATGTCCAGATGCTTGATGTTTGAAAAAGATCTTCCAAAACAGTTTTGGGCTGAAGCAGTTAACACCGCAGTATATTTACTCAACAGAATCTCTACCAAGTCTTTAGACAACAAGACTCCATATGAAGCTTGGTCTGGTTACAAACCCAAACTAGATCACTTGAGAGTGTTTGACAGTCCATGCTACACTCATGTGCCTGATGTAAAGCGAGACAAGCTTGATGCTAGAGCTGTGGTTGGTATTTTTATTGGTTACAGCTCTATTACAAAAGGTTACAGGGTGTTTAGTTTGAAAACCAAGAAAGTGGAGGTGAGTAGAGATGTCAGAATAGATGAAGGCTTGAAATGGAATTGGGAAAAGATGGCAATAGAAGAAGATGATCAATTTGATGATGTTCTTGAAGCTGCACAACCTGAAGATGCACTCGAAGATGCTGAATCCGAGCGCATTGATCATGTTCCAATCAGAGGAACTAGATCCTTGAATGATGTCTATGCAAGATGCAATCTCTCACTTCATGAGCCGACTAGTACTGATGAGGCTCTTGAAATAGAAGTTTGGAGACATGCGATGCAGGATGAAATTTCAGCAATTGAAAAGAATGAAACGTGGAAGCTTGTCAACCTACCCGCTGAAAAGAAAGCAATTGGAGTAAGATGGATTTACAGAACCAAGCTCAATCCTGATGGCACTGTATCCAAATACAAAGCCAGACTAGTTGTCAAAGGGTATGCTCAGAATCCTGGTGTTGATTACTTTGAAACATTCTCTCCTGTTGCAAGAATGGAGACCATCAGACTGCTTCTATCATTAGCTGCACAGCAAGGATGGAAGGTATGCCAGTTGGATGTCAAATCTGCTTTCTTAAATGGCTTCTTGCAAGAGGATATTTATGTTGAACAACCTGAGGGTTATGTTGTTGCTGGTTCTGAAAGCAAGGTCTACAAGCTAAATAAAGCTCTTTACGGGCTTAAACAAGCACCTAGGTCCTGGTATGATAGACTTGATGCTTGCTTGATTGAAATGGAGTTTGAAAAGAGTAAAAATGAAGCCACACTATACGTGAAGGAATTGAATCAAGACATCTTGATAGTTTCAGTGTATGTGGATGACTTGTTAATCACTGGAAGCTCCATAAAGATGATAGATCAGTTCAAGTCAGAGATGAAGAAGAAATTTGACATGAGCGACTTAGGCTTAATGTCTTATTTCTTAGGACTTGAAGTGGTACAGATGGACTGTGGAATTCTGATTCATCAAAGGAAGTTTGCTACTGAAGTGTTGAAGAAGTTTGCTATGTCAGAATGCAAGCCAATTGGGACACCATTGGCGACTGGTCAAAAATTCTTCAAAGAGGATGGCACTGAGAAAATTGACAGTAAAATATATAGAAGCTTGATGGGGAGCTTATTGTATTTAACTGCATCAAGGCCTGATCTTGTGTTCTCAGTCAACCTACTCTCTAGGTTCATGCATTCTCCAAGTGAGCAACATTTCAAAGCAGCAAAACGGATTTTGAGGTATGTGCAAGGCACTGCTGATTATGGTGTGTTTTATGGCAAAAATCCAGTTAATCTAATTGGATTCACTGATAGTGATCTTGCTGGCTCTGATAAAGAAAGCAGAAGCGTGTTTGGCTACTGTTTCTCTCTTGGTTCAGGCATGATTAGTTGGAAGTCAAAGAAGCAATCTGTTGTTGCTCAATCAACTGCTGAAGCTGAATATATTGCAGCTTCCAAAGGAGGAAATCAAGCTGTCTGGCTAAGAAAAATTCTCGTTGATTTGAAATTGGAGCAAAAGAATACAACTGTGATGTTCTGTGACAGTAAAGCCGCCATTGCCATCATCAAAAATCCAGTGCTTCATGATAGAACGAAGCATTTTAAAATCAAGTTTCACTCCGTAAGGCAGCTGCAAAACGAAGGTGATATTGATCTACAATTTTGCTCATCCGAAGAGCAAACTGCTGATATACTCACTAAGATTCTGCCAAAACACAGGTTTGATGTTCTGTGTGAAAGACTTGGAATGCGAAGACTTAGCTCCATGGGGGAGTGTTGAAGTTAGTGGTATGGTGACTCAAAGAATGGAACAAAAAGTCTATCTAAAATCCTGTGTTAGGATATTTTATTAAGGCCCTACTTATCTTCTTATCTTTTCTTACAACCTAGCCACTAGGAAGAAAGAGTGTAAGACCACTTGCCCACTTGCTTAGCAAGTGGATGGTTGTTTCCTACTGAAAACTTGTAAGACTTGGAATCTATAAATGCTGAAAGATGATGAAATAAAAATTCAGCAAGCTATTATCAAAAGCCTTCTTCTTTCTCTTTACATTTTTCTCTATTCTTTGCATTCTTGCTCTTAGTCTAACACACAAAATTCCTACAATATTTTAGAATTAGAAAATGAAAGTAGTAGTCCATCTCGTCTTCTTTTATTGATTATTTAAATAAAATATAAAAGGAAATAAACGATAGAAAAAGAAATAATAAAATATTATAAATTAAAACTTCTAATATCTTTTCGATCACTAGAAAAAATTTCACTTCTCACAAAAAGAAGATTATACTTGATTATCATTTATAATACGAAGCATCACATAGAATATTCTAAGTATCATATAATACGAGTAATATTCACAATTTTATTCAAATGAATCACGTAAAAAATATAAATGCAATCTGCTATTGTTATCGCCAAACTTAAGAAATAGAAACATGTCGTACTTCGTATTAGCTAGTTTTTTCATAATAAATGTATGAAATGTGTTAAATTTAAAATGATATACAAGTATGTTAAATATGTATTTTCATGACTAAATTATTTATTTATATCTTAAAAATGAAGATTGAAGATAAATACAAAGTGCGTAAGTATACGTTGTTCGATGTTCGGTTCAGTTTACGTTTTTTCAGTTTTAAACCAAACCATTCGATTTAAGTAAATTCCTACCAAACAATTTACTAAAAAAAACTCAAAACAAACCAAATCAAACCATCAATTTCTAGTTGCGTTAAACAAACCATTTTGCACATCCCTATTGGACTTCTGGCTACACCGCAGCAGAAAGACTCCTTAATAGCACTACAATTTTAGGAAAAAAGTTCCCGCTCACCCGAATTTCCCTCCTATGGTTTCAACTATAAATCTAAGAAATTCATCCCAACGAAAAAACACTAACTCCTTTTCCAAATGTTTTGTAGGTAAACAAGTGATTGATTAGGTATCTTAGTTATCAATGGGTTTGGTTTTGTTAGATATTTAACAATGGAAGGAGCTGCAACCGACATAAAAAAACATGATTGGTTAGACAAGTTGAGTTTAAAATATCCTATATTTAGTGGCATTATTAGGGGGTGTTTGGATCTGATACTTAAAACTACTTTTGCTCGTTCAGGGAGCAGAAGCTGGAGTGTTTGGATAAAAATGTAGAAGTGATTCCGGTACTCAAATTTACTCCTAGAATCAGTTTTTTTAGAAGCTGGGGGGTGATCAGCTTCTAAAAACTGATTCTGATTATGCTTTTGCTTTAAAAGGAAGCAGAAGCAAAATCAGTTCCAAACACCCTTATATTGGAATATTGGATTAGATGAACACTCAAAGCTAGCACAAAAAATTGAAATTCCTTTTAATTAATTAGTGTTCCTCAGATATGATTTTATTAATTAATTACTAATTCTAATTGTTTCCCAGTGATCCGCCTTATCATTTTTCATTTCTCAAAACACCACGGAGAAACGGCATGTACAAGCTACTGGAGTATGAGTTTAGTCTTTCTTAGAGAATGCACTAAAATATATAGTTTATATATGCTAAATTCTGTTTTTGCCAGAAATTGTATATTATTTGCAGTAAATTATGCTCAATTCTTTAGAAGATTTCTTATATGGAAGAAAGGTGATGTTTGCTCAATATTTTATAAGTTCTGGGATATCGATCAAACACAAGACAATCCGATACATATAATTATTCCTTTTCAATACATTTCTATTCTTTAATATGATTTTTTTTTCTTTAATTCGCAGGCTGTATGCAATTGCAGATGTTTGCACCAGCCTCATGGACATGTATAACTTCATTCAATTGATGTATTATTGGTTTTTTTTATAATGTGTTTCAAGTACTATTTTTATGCGAAGAATTTGTTAATAAAATATTTAATAGATGCCATAATCTCCTTTTCCATAACATTGCTTATACTCGATGATCTTTTAATATCGTGCTATCACTGCTTTCATTCCAGATTTATATACTTAGGTGGTATTTGAAGTTTCATTTCTTAGCTTTATACTTGGCTGTTTTTAAGCTGAGAAGTACTCATTTAAATCAAGGTATGAGGAATTGAGAATACGATGTTTACGAACAAAGTAGCAATGATTCAGTTTTATGTTATTTTAATAATATCTTTATGATTGCATATGGTTTTTTCCTCGAGTATATGTGTTGTTGTGCTTGAGGAATTAGAGGTGTAGAAAATTCATAAACATGCAGTTGTGCTCTACACATTCTTGAGTATATTACTCGATCTAATATGCCTAATCTCCAAGTATTAAATTCATGTTCACTTTAAATTCAGACGTGTTCTTGGATGGGAACATATAATGATAATCCGTAATACAAAGAGATCAAACATTTACCTAGACTTGGACCCGGTTCGGGCCGCCCGGCCCGGGACCGGCCCGGCCCGCCACTGTGCGGGCCCGGAACCGGTCCGGTTCTCGGGTCCGGGTCCGGGTTGTTTGATGATCCCAGGCTCTAAGCTTGTGCAGATCACCTGTTGGAAGAAGCTGGTCAATGAACCAACAGAGGTTTTAAGTTTATGGTCTTTTGTGTGTATAATAAACCGTAAAGAATGGAGGAAAAAGAAAAGAGGGGAGTTTTTTTCGAGACACGCCGTCATGCTTCAAGGCCTTACTGCTCCAATTATCCTCCGGCAATCACAAATCAGCAGAAAGAGGTGCGCCTGTAATCTACGACCTCATTGGTTTGGCTCTTAATTTTATATTTCAGTTATCGGCTGTGGGTGAATCTTACTTTATTTTTCTTTGATGTCAATTTAGCTGAAAGTATAGTCAGATTTTGCAGAATATTATCTGTATTATGTTTGTTGTTTGATGCTTCGCGTTATTTGAAGTGAACTTTTGTGCATTGGAATAACACCCGGAATTGATATTTGAAGTGAACTTTGGTGCATTAGAATAACACCCGGTCTTGATGTGTCGCTGACCAAGGGAAGAAAATCATACTCCGTATTGAGTTTACGGGATCATGATCCTGATTGTTTTAATGTTTCTGAAGATTCGGGGAATATATACTAGATTTTAAATGCACAATTTTATAAATTCCTTATCAAAGAAAATGTGATCTATTGCTTGTCTTTGCCAAATTGTAGTCCCTTTATGCTCTTTCACCGAAAACCTCTATGCATTACTTTCATTTTACGTGAAGGTATTGCTCATATTAAGGAGAAATGGAGCAACCACAAACCTTCAAAAAGATCAAGGAAATGTGCATCCCTGTTTGTTTCTGCTGGGGGTGATCTTGTGGCTGTAGCAACCAGGAACCTGATAACAATATTGAGGAAGGAGGATGACTACCAGGAACCTCGTGGAGTTTTTACCTGTAAGGATCATAACCTGCAATGTATCTAGTACATGATGCTAGTACGTTACTAAGTCATTTTTAGTTATACCTCGTTTCTTTTACTCTTCCAAATCAACGCTGCATTATTTTCTACGTAGTAGTTACATATTTTCTTTCTTTATTTTCTTTGATTTATTTGTGGTGGAGTGGGGTCCAGTAATCACATTGCCCAGGAAAGGAGGCCATGATAGAAGTAAACGATCTCATGTAGTCATGTTTAATTTACTATTCATAAATTTACATTCACATTTCACAACTCTTGGTGTTGTTCCATACGTAAGTGGCAGGCTGATTATATAAATATTAATTGCAAATAACTTGTAAATTTAGCCTCACCAATTTTCTTTTACTTTGAAATAGGTGAAAATAATGTTGTATTTATGTTTGGGGCTTGGGCAGAAACTCATGATGTTCTTGGTGTTGTTGACGATGGAAGCATGCTATATCTAATTAGAGCTAATGGTGAAGAGATAACGAGATTCTCGAAGAGGCATTTGAAAGTTTCTTCACAAATAGTAGGTTTAGTTGTTCAAGATGATATCAATGTGAAGACATCATGCTTGTAAGTTAGTCTGTAATTACTCCATCATATATATTCTGTAGAACACATAATAGCTATAATGTTCTAAAAGCACTGAAAAATAATCTTTCAACAATAGGTCTCTTACTCTAAGTATCAATTTTTGAATCCTTTATAGGTGTACATTCAGTGTTTTCACTTCGGATGGTTCAGTTCATGATGTTGAGATCAGTCGAGATCCTGATGCTTCTGTTTTCTCTAGAGCTTCATTAATCAGTGACTCAATAGATAAGCATCAATTCCTTCAGCATGTTGTCTGTCTGGATTACCATCCAAAACTGTCTTTGTTAGCTGTAGTAAATCATGCTGGCAGTACGCAATCAGCGACTAATGGTAGTGGCATTAATCCTATTTTTCATTACCAATTATTGGCCTGGTAAAATGATTAATTCTCATTATATGCATCGGAACTCCTTTTCCAGGAGTGTACAGTGTTTCTCTCTGGCAGAGAAACAAGCACTTAGATCTCAAACTGGTGGTTTCTACTCAATTTGAGGGCTCAAATTTTATTCCAAAAGGTAATGCCAATCAAATGTCACTGCCAAAGGTGCACATTTCAGTGCAAGGAAAATTTGTTGCTGTTTTGGATGTGGAAGGGCATTTGGTTGTTCTAACGTTTGATAATAAACTTCAATCTCTCACATTTAATACTGGAGAGGGGCACAAGTCAGATCTAATAAACAGTGGCCCAAGTTTGGCAAATATACACTTCAATGAGATAGTGGATTTTGCCTGGTGGTCTGATAATATTCTTACTTTAGCAGCAAGGAGTGGTACTATCGCCATGTTTGACATGTATGCTGGCATCAATGTATTGGAGACTGATATTAAATATTCGCTGCCACTTCTGGAAAGACCACAAAATCTCCCCGGAAACCTTTTCCTTTTAGAAAGCAAGTCACTTGATGGGAGCTACACATCGTCAGAAGAAAAGGGTGCAAGAGATGTGCACCTTATCGAGTGGGATGCTGTTTATGCGAATAACGAGTTTGATTGGACCAAACTGGAGTGGAGCTTGGTCTCATTATCTGAACGATCAGTTCTAGAAATGTATAACATACTAATTTCTCAGCATGAATATCAGGCTGCTCTCGTTTTTGCAGAGCATCATTCTCTGGATAAAGATGAAGCTCTGAAGTCACAGTGGCTCCATTCTTCCCATGGAAAAAATGAAATAAATACTTTGCTGGCAACTATCAAAGATAAAGTTTTTGTGCTCTCTGAATGTGTTGATCGGTTTGGACCAACAGAAGATGCAGTGAGGGCTTTGCTTGATCATGGTTTCCGCCTGACAGACTCTTATAGGTTTTCCAAGTCTGAGGGCATTGAGAAGGATGAAATATGGGATTTCCGTCTGACAAGGCTGAGATTGTTACACCTGAAAGACAGGCTCGAGACATTTCTTGGCATAAACATGGGCAGGTGGGTCTTTTGCTTTTAGTTTTTTTTTAGAAGCTAGTTTTTTGAACTAATTACTTTCTGTGCTCAGACCAACTGTATTATTATGCACTTTGCTGTAGGCATGGCGGTGTTCCTTTTGATCTGATTCTAATGAATTCATGTTTTGGCATGGCGGTGATCCTTGCGATCCCATTCATGAAGAAGAGACTTCACTCTATGAATGTAATTCCTGGCGGTCAGATGGCTGAAAGAGATTGCTTCACAGAATAAATTGGAGGTGTGCTTAATTGTAATTGAAGAGGGATGCAAGGATGTTCATCATAATTGTTTTTTCATAGATGAAGCTGAAGTTGTAGACTGTGCTCTGCAATGCATATACCGGTGCTCCGTTACAGATAGATGGAGTACTATGGCTTCCATCTTGTCAAAACTTCCAAACATAGGAGGTAAAATCCCATCATATTGAATGCTTGTATAATTTCCCGAGTTTGAAATGCCCATTGGTCTTTTCTAATTTTATGAATTCTGTTGAACACTTTTCTGTGTATGAAAAAAATTTATCGGCTGATAGTATATACAATGCTCATTTTTCAAAGAAAGCATCAGTACAGTTTAGTGAGCCATTTTGTTTTATTCCATCATATTCTCAAGTTAAAAAATAATGAATCTTTGGCTCCATTGCAAATGATGGAAAATTATTCAAGGCAAATTATTAATTATACCGTTTGATTTGTGAACGGTTCATTTTTCATAAGCTGAAAATCACAAAAGCATTGTTTTATTCTCGACTTCGTTCTTCTCGTTCGGAGTTCAGACCCAAAAAGTTAAAAGTACACTTTTATTTCCTCTTCATATTCAAGTTATGAAGAATTTCTCTATATTTTCTTTTCTTACTCTATTTAATTTAAGTTACCAATCAATTATCAATCTAGAATTATATGTGTCTTTATTAATTTACAACTTAAGTGTTCTTCATATATACAGTAGAAAACTTCTTATATACGGAGTATTTTTTTAATACGGTTGAAGAGAAGCCATTACCTATTCGTCATCTCCCATGCTCGGACCAAAAAAAAGAAAGAAAAACGGTGTGGGATCATGTTGACAAAGATGTGGATAGTGGCGGAGGCGACAAATTAGATAGTCGGAGGCAGCAACATGGAGGAGTCGTGAGGAGAGAAAGGGTGCTTTCTTATTAAAACTTGTGATTGGGAACAAGTTTATAGCATAATGATTATTTTTCATCTTTGATCGAGAGTTTTGTTATCTCAGGTGAGTGTTTATAATGTTCTTCTAACAATGCTTAGATGTTGTGTGTTCTCGCGTAACTGATGGAGTGATGATTTTTCATAGTTCGTGGTTGGTAAGTCTATTTCAATCTCATTACTTGTCCTTGTCCTGAATCATCGCCTCACTACAGGAGAAAGTTAGCACTCAATTGGTTCTCCCTTTTGGGTGACCGATCAAACCGAAATTTTAGCTCATTTCTATGCGGCTAAGTTTCCTTTGTTGGTTTCTAGTCAAGTTAATTATCCTTTTTCCCCTTTCAGTGGCAGGTGTAGCCGGAATTCTTAATTTTTTTTGTCCTAGTTTGCTTTTGAGTAAGACTACATTGTAGAGTCTTTAGGACCGGCTCAGACCTCAATCACCAAACCACAAAGGTTGCTCGTCATTCAACCACCAGAGGGCTTCTAAAGGGAAAAGGGGAGGGTAACAACCACAACACTCAACCTCACTCTGATGAACCCACCGGAGAAACCCCCAAACCCACTGGACAAGAGTGAAGCACCCGAAGGTATTCCCAGGAGACCGTCGGAGGGTGGCCGAAGCACAGCCCTTGACAATTCCTCTCTCTCTCTCACTCTAGAACCAGGGCAACACTCTATCCGACTCATATGAACAAGGAAGAAGAGAGTGGCTGAAATAGGAGAGTCTTGAAGGAACGGGACAAATATACCAAGGGCCACATGAGTCACGGGCTGGACAAGACAAACAAAAGGGGAGTGGGCTGATCAGGGTAAACAACAAGGAGCAAGTGGGCTGGTCAGGGCGGACAACCCAACATGGGCCAGAGATATTAAATGTGAATGGGGCCAATACCAACTCACATTCTCCACCTTATTGGCCCCTGGTGGTGTTGAGCATAATGTGAAAGGGAGTATCATCATCGCCGGTGTCTTGTGTATCTGTTCTTATCTAGACACAATCAATGTTAAGTGATCGTTTACAAGATAACAGCTTTTCAAAGGAAAGACATTTAGTTCCCATATCAGCTGGGTTAAATTCAGAGGCAATCTTGCACGGCTTCACTTCTCCTTTGTCAACAATATCCCTGATAAAATGGAATCTGACATCAATGTGTTTGGTATGATCATGAAACACAGGATTTTTGCACAACTGAATAGCTGACTGGCTATCAGAGTATACTGTCACAACCTGTCTAAGAAAACCAATTTCAGTTACGTTTCAACCAAATGGCCTCCTTAAAGGCTTCAGTGGCTGCAACGTATTCAGATTCAGTAGTTGAAAGAGCTACAACAGGTTGCAGTTGAGATTTCCAGCTTATGCAGGATCCACAAAGTGTAAAAATATAGGAGGTGGACAAACAGCTACCGAGACATTGAATGTTGTGTACAAAGAAGTATTCAACAACGTCTGATAGAATTGCATCAAATACAGTTATACAATTACACAATGTAATAGCATCGATGATTGCATGTGGTTGTTTTCATACTTTTACGTGATGTTTAATACTCTCTTTGCAATCATAATATCAAATGTCTCCTATCATTTTGGGATTTTTACACTTATTATAGCATAATTGCATGATTAAATGTATCGACTTGGTATGACACATATAATGTCCCCAAATTATATACTTTTTTTTGTATGACTCTACGCATTTATGAAACAACATTCTTCAAACCGTGCATCGCACGGGTGAAGTTACTAGTTTTGTATAATTCAAAAACATCCATAATTCATTCTAATGTTATTAATTCAATATGAGTTAAATGATCTCAATTTAATGTACCAATGTTCTAAAAAAAACTCATACTCCGTGTTTCAGAACAACGGTTAAAATAAAGAACCCAACAAAACCATGGCGTGGAACTGTTCTCAGAAAAAGGCCATTAATTCTCCACTTTAGACAAACCGCCGAGCAAGTATCCGATGATCCTATGATTCAAGTCGAAGGTAAAAAAGAACCACATCCCCTCTTCCATTTAACGAAGCGATCAAAGCTCTCATCTTTGCATTCATGGAGGAAACAGAGACTCATAAAGCTATGCTCACAACAGAAAAATGGAAGAAAGAACAAATCTTCAACTCAAACAAAGTGCCAGCATCCATCTTTCAGTGTGGTTAAAGCAAATGAATCATCATTGAACACCAGCCCCACAAACTATATTGACACATTCTCAGAATTGGTTGAATCCCTTAATTTCAGAGCCTAGAGATTCTTCGTTTCAAACATTATTGGCATTATTATAATCAAATCAGAAGACAATGAACCAGAAATTGAACACATTTGCATCACTTCATTGCCTAGTTCCAATCCAACACAGTCCCTTCCTATTTCCTATGGGCATCCCAAAGCCAAGCCAGGTTATTAATCAAAACACACATCCAGTCCTGGGCTTCCTTTAGTTTCAGAATTGGTTGAACTCTCTGCCAAAGGTACATCAAAATATATAATTCCTCTAGAAACTTCTTAAAAGAGAAACTAATTGAGAAATAAAAAACAGAGTATTTCACATTCTAAACTTCTATTTTGTATGCACAAAATAAACATATAATTTCAAATGCAATGAATGAATAATAGTAGAAACTTTGAATGAAGCCATCAGACACTAATGATTCTCCACATAAGCTTAAAGCTAATAATACGGTCCGCATCATGGTTCGATCTAAGAGATCGCATCACGCAGCTTGTCAATTTCAGCTAAAACTAAAGCAAAAAAGGCAGAATAAAATCAACAAAAGAAGAGCTCAGGGAATAGAATGGGTATGAGACAATTATCATCACTCTCTCCGAAGGAGGTCAGAGTGGTGCATGACAATCTCTGTATTTCATCATCGCTCTTCTTCGTCTAGTGAATATTCATTAATAATTACTACGTAATAATCAAACCTAATTTTAAAAAAACGAAAAACAGGGGGAAATGGATAATAAATAACGCTCAGAGATAATTTCTGCTATGATGATGAGGAATAGGTGAATGCTCAGAGAAGACTAGGCATGATATAAGAGCGGAAATTAGGTTTCACCCAAACCCTAATCTTTGTGGAAATTTGAATAGATACAGGCCCGGGTTGAACAAAGGGGCCATACAGATCCTGGTCTTCTGGCCCGGTTGGTTCATTTAAATTCAACCCGACAGGGTGTAGATGTAGAATGAGTAACAATCCCGTCAGGTCGTCCTAAAACCGCCGTCCGGCCGAGGGCTTTTGGGGCCCTTCCCGGTGGAATATATATATATATATATATATATATATATATATATATATATATATATATATATATATATATATATATATATATATATATATATAGAGAGAGAGAGAGAGAGAGAGAGAGATAGAGACAGAAAGAGAGAGAGAGAGAGAGAGAGAGAGGAATGATCCTGTCCAGCCGGAGGGACAGGATCCTATGTCCGGCTGCCTATTGGTCGAAGAGGTGGTGGTTACTGTTGCCAAAATTTGTGACATGATGCTTCCTTGCTTTCCATTGGTTGATGAGGGTGGTGTGAAAAAGTGAGGGGATGGTACCTGCAACAAGTAGTACACAATCGTTCAGCTGTAAATTCACAATTCTAGCACCAACATTCTCACAACCATTCTCGTTGCTATAGAAGTAAGTGTTCATAACTTCCTAAAAAGTTATTTTCTGGAAATTATATTTCACTATGAAGAGCTCCCACAAATTTAAAATCATCATTTAAAATACCACTTTTCATATTTTGATCGAATATCAATAACTCATTGTTTTAATATCTACATGGCTCAAAGATCCATTTCACATTCCTTATGAAAAACTCGTTGTTTTAATGTTGTTTTTCTTATCTTCTGGAAATTATGTGTGCCTTATTGTTTTAAAACATCCAACTCATTGTTTTATATTTGATTATGTGTGCATGTATAAAAAGCGTTTCGTCTATATAATGTTTACAAAATGTAAAATGTTATACAAAAGCAGGTCCAGATACTACAGTATGCCCATAAGTTACTACTCCTAGATGAGTTCATCTATATATATATATATATATATATATATATATATATATATAAGTTGCTATAAATGAAGTAGCTTTTATTGGAAAAGTAATTTCGGAAACTCAATCTTCTCATTGTGACTTTGTGATTAAAAGTGATGCAGTGTTTTAATCTTTTGATTATCTAGAGAAGGTTGGTGATATCATGATAAATGTCATTAAGTGGTACAAGGTTTCCGATGTTGGTATATGTTATTGGAGGCATTTCAAAAAATTAATTTGAATTTTCATCTCCACACATGATTTATTTTACGCAAGGAATTGTCTCATTTTACTCCATATTTTACAATTTTCTCACTTCATAACGCTTTACGATAAAAATTAGAGATATTACCCAAAATGGGACTAAAAAAGTTTGAAAATTCCAAAATAGGACTTCCATGTTTTTATTCCCAAAATAGGACTAATTACTGTCATATTTTGGCAGTACCAGACTCCAAACATGGCAGTATTTTCCATTTTTGGCAGTAATTAGTACTATTTTTGGAATAAAAACATGACAGTCCTATTTTGGGAATAAAAACATGACAGTCCTATTTTGGAATTTTTGAACTTTTTTAGTCCCATTTCGGGAACTTTCCCTAAAAATTATTAATAACTATTGAAGAAAATAGCTCAAATCACGCGTCCCTACACCGTGCATCGCACGGGTGAGTTACTAGTTTGCTTAATGCAACAACCCTATTTTGCTTAGTGCCTTTTGTTTTACGAACTTGCAAAATTACTTTTTTATTTTTCATCCTTGTAATTTAGGTTGTTTTTCTTTTTAGTCCATCGTTGATCATAACAACTTCCATTTTACAATGAAACAACCTTGAGGAATAGGTTTCCTATCATTCTTCATCATGATATTCAAACAGTATTTAATTTTAATTTTTAGAAGGTTATGAAAAGATATTCTAAAAATGTGAATAATTCGTTTTACATTGTTTTAAATTTCATGTTGTCCACAAAAGAAAACATAATAGGCTAAATTTAAAATTTTCTAGTAGATTTATGCATCCGGACATGTTTTTTTCTAAACAAAGTGGCATAGTTAGAGATGGACTTAAACAAAATAGTGCAAATTACAGGATCAAAAACAAAAAATTTATTTTGCAGGAACTTAAAACAAAATGTGTCATATTTGATAGGGACTGTACACACAATTAAGCCATTCTACAATTGTATTGTTGTCAACAAAAACTACTACATTGAGTTGAAAGTAAGAAATGATAGATAAATAAAGTATAGTAAATTACTACACCAAATGATTTTTCCTGGGCATTGTAGCTTTTATTGAATTGAGTTTGATTTCTTTCATCAGATTAAGGGTATCGGAAAAAATGTCTGTGGTGAACAGATTTAATGCGTCTTCCTCCCAAGTACATCAAATTGAAAGATGGAAGAATAGATTTTAGGCATCCTAAGGAAAATATTTTCGCGATTTTCAAGATTCCACAGTATAGATGTTCATTAACGTTGCTGATTAGCAATTCATATTACCTTTGGTCAATTTATTGGCTTGGATTCTTGTCGTTGGGAGAAGGGGAGAACGCGACGGGGAGATTCGTAGGCTGGGAGCCTGCAAATCACTAAGAACATACTGACTACGGATAAGGCGCGAAGACAACTGGCGAGAAGGCAAAGTCATGAATTGTGAGATTAACATCTCATGGTCCGATAGTTCTTTTCTGAATAGCGGTGGAAACGACATGGGTGGACTTCTGAGTATGGAGACATTAAACTAGATACACTAGGGGTGGGCACGGGTCAGGTAGGATCGGGTAATCTTAAAAAAATTAAGAACTGCCAGGTAGGTTCGGGTCGGGTACATGAATTCTAATGCTAGGAACTGGATCCTACCCGCCCCGTTTGAAACGGGTTGGTTCAGTCCGGATTTTGTGTATTAGTCATGTATTCAACCAAACAGAAATTCCGAAAATCTACAACATGCACTATATTAAATCAACAAGTCAACAACAAACAGAAACTTAAAGTTCCAAGTTTGCAGATAGAGAAGATACTAAAACAGAAAAGATTCAGAAGCAACCTCCCAAGAGATACCTGGTTTCTGAGCTTCTTAGTCTGGCTTACTACCTGGTTTCTCAGCTTATTAGTCATCTTATAAACATGTATATTTTTCTAATAATTTGAGAGGCCCAGTGAGGGAAAAATCAGCCCCCTAATACAGAAAAGTGTGGGGAGGTTTGAGAGGGATTTTGGGCAGGAATAGCAGTACGCCAAAGACAACGTGTGTGTACCTTTAATTGTGTTCTCTTTAGCACCAATAAATGCATTAATTGTTCTGTCTTGAGGTTGTCCAGCTTCCTAATTTCCCTTCTTTTTAGAAAGATGCATGAAAATTTTAATATGTGATGCAAATGGACAAACTGCTACCGAGACACTGAATGTTGTGTACAAAGAAGTATTCAACAACGTCTGATAGAATTGCGTCAAATACAGTTATACAATTACACAATGTAATAGCATCGATGATTGCATGTGGATGTTTTCATACTTTTATCTGATGTTTAATACTCTCTTTACATTCATAATATCAAATGTCTCCTATCATTTTGGGATTTTTACACTTATTATAGCATAATTGCATGATTAAATGTATCGACTTGGTATGACACATATAATGTCCCCAAATTATATACTTTTTTTGTATGACTCTACGCATTTATGAAACAACATTCTTCAAACCGTGCATCGCACGGGTGAAGTTACTAGTTTTGTATAATTCAAAAACATCCATAATTCATTCTAATGTTATTAATTCAATATGAGTTAAATGATCTCAATTTAATGTACCAATGTTCTAAAAAAACTCATACTCCGTGTTTCAGAACAACGGTTAAAATAAAGAACCCAACAAAACCATGGCGTGGAACTGTTCTCAGAAAAAGGCCATTAATTCTCCACTTTAGACGAACCGCCGAGCAAGTATCCGATGATCCTATTATTCAAGTCGAAGGTAAAAAAGAACCACATCCCCTCTTCCATTTAACGAAGCGATCAAAGCTCTCATCTTTGCAATCATGGAGGAAACAGAGACTCATAAAGCTATGCTCACAACAGAAAAATGGAAGAAAGAACAAATCTTCAACTCAAACAAAGTGCCAGCATCCATCTTTCAGTGTGGTTAAAGCAAATGAATCATCATTGAACACCAGCCCCACAAACTATATTGACACATTCTCAGAATTGGTTGAATCCCTTAATTTCAGAGCCTAGAGATTCTACGTTTCAAACATTATTGGCATTATTATAATCAAATCAGAAGACAATGAACCAGAAATTGAACACATTTGCATCACTTCATTGCCTAGTTCCAATCCAACACAGTCCCTTCCTATTTCCTATGGGCATCCCAAAGCCAAGCCAGGTTATTAATCAAAACATACATCCAGTCCTGGGCTTGCTTTAGTTTCAGAATTGGTCTCTCTGCTAAAGGTACATCAAAATATATAATTCCTCTAGAAACTTCTTAAAAGAGAAACTAATTGAGAAATAAAAAACAGAGTATTTCGCATTCTAAACTTCTATTTTGTATGCACAAAATAAACATATAATTTCGAATGCAATGAATGAATAATAGTAGAAACTTTGAATGAAGCCATCAGACACCAATGATTCTCCACATAAGCTTAAAGCTAATAATACGGTCCGCATCATGGTTCGATCTAAGAGATCGCATCACGCAGCTTGTCAATTTCAGCTAAAACTAAAGCAAAAAAGGCAGAATAAAATCAACAAAAGAAGAGCTCAGGGAATAGAATGGGTATGAGACAATTATCATCACTCTCTCCGAAGGAGGTCAGAGTGGTGCATGACAATCTCTGTATTTCATCATCGCTCTTCTTCGTCCAGTGAATATTCATTAATAATTACTACGTAATAATCAAACCTAATTTAAAAAAAAAAAACGAAAAATAGGGGGAAATGGATAATAAATAACGCTCAGAGATAATTTCCGCTATGATGATGAGGAATAGGTGAATGCTCAGAGAAGACTGCGCATGATATATAAGAGCGGAAATTAGGTTTCACCCAAACCCTAATCTTTGTGGAAATTTGAATAGATACAGGCCCGGGTTGAACAAAGGGGCAATACAGATCCTGGTCTTCTGGCCCGGTTGGTTCATTTAAATTCAACCCGACAGGGTGTAGATGTAGAATGAGTAACAATCCCGTCAGGTCGGCCTGAAACCGCCGTCCGGCCGAGGGCTTTTGGGGCCCTTCCTGGTGGAATATATATATATATATATATATATATATATATATATATATATATATATATATATATATATAGGAATGATCCTGTCCAGCCGGAGGGACAGGATCCTCCGTATGGCTGCCACCGTTTGGGGCGGTTTCCGGTGGAGTTTTTTGATGAAATTTTTATGGAATGTTCCTCATCAAGTCTAGTTTATCCACAAAAAATTTCAGCAAGAAATTCGATCGGGAAGACAGTCAAATAATTTGTTGAAGATAACTGCTTCAAATTAAACATATAAAACGCAGTTATGTTTCAAAAAATTATTTCACCGTCTTCCCGATCGAATTTTTAGCTGAATTTTTTTTGGATAAACTAGACTTGATGGGGAACATTCCATAAAAATTTCATCAAAAAACTCCACCGGGAACCGCCCCAAACGGCGGCGGCCGGACGGAGGATCCTGTCCCTCTGGCTGCACAGGATCTTTTCCGTATTATATATATATATATATATATATATATATATAGGGAAAAGATCAAGTACAAAGTGTGCTTATTGTGCAAATATTTGTACGATGCACCTTGACGTTATTTGTATTGCATATTGAGGTTCAAAGTATTGCACATTATAAAGTCATAAAAATAATAATTGCACATTAAGGTGCAACGAGTTGCACCCTAAAAAGTTGGGTTTTATTACAAAAATGCCACCTTGCCTTTATGTCCTTTGGATCAACTCATCGGCCGGTCAAGATGAGTTTGTACTTTGTAAATTAAGAAGGCTTTGTATTTGATCTCTATTCTATATATATATATATATATATATATATATATATATATATATATATATATATATATATATATATATATATATATATATATATATATATATATATATATATACACATATATATATACTGGCTTGGCACGCGCGTTGCGTGACGGGTGGTGCCCAATGCTGGGGGGAAATGAGTTGCATTGTTAGGGAAATCAAAAATAGGGTGAAACTTAGAGGAACAAAAAACATTGTCTAAAATTTGATAGATTTGTTAGGGATATTTGAGAAAAACCATTTAAACCATTTATTCGTATAATGTAAAAACAAAGAAACCCAAACATATATAAGATCTAATACAAACATATGTGAAATCAAACATAAGAAATAAACTGTCATTAGAACTTTTCTTTTCCGCTAGCATTCCCTGAAACTTTTCCTTCTTTGAGTACTCTTTGAGCTAATTATGGGTATTTTATGGTACCTATAAATAAATGTCTGGTGCATGTTCTCCATTATCTTCCTTCATGAGATTACTTCCAAGTTCCAAGTCATGGAATTAATGGGGTGGAAAACTAATACTGAATCTATTCACTTCTGAAAGTCTACAACCTACAAGGAGTCAAAATTTTGTTCATTGACCTACCTTTGGTAATGAATGAAAACTGTTGCTTGGGGAAAAAAAAACCTAGAAAGCATACACATTGTTTCAGAATGTTTTTTCAAGAAAAGAAGCCGTTCTACATACGGAAAAAAACCTAGAAAAGCATACACCTATTTCAAAAATCATAAAAGCAAAACGGAAAACCAGCTGTTTATATAGTTTATATAGTTCAATTGGGTGTTTATTATGCTTACCCAATTATAGTCCTCAAGACAGCACTCTTCTTCGCAAACAAACACCCATTCCACAACCTTATCCAATATTCTTTTCTTTTCAGGGCCTCTTTTTTACATCACATAGTGTGATGTCAGGGGACTGACATAAATGCAGCTTGACTTGTTTTACCAATTAGTAAGAAATTTGGCTCAGAATATATAGAATACTCACAGATCCAGTATGGAATGATATTCAAACAATACCCTCACGGTCATCGTAAACCTCGACAAACAAAGTGCTATATTGTAACATCTAACAAAGAAATGTAAATACCTGATTTATGCCTCAGTCTTGAATGTTGGCAACTTTTTTTATGCCACATAGCCCCCTCTTGATGTCCTCAGAAGTGGATCACCACGTTTATGAAGTGCACTGTATACACGAAAATAAGACCTACTTAACTCCTTCCACACTTTATATATATGGTAGATTTCTATATGGAAAACTTAGTGAACTCAAATTAGGAAGTGAGTAACGGACACTTTACCTAATAGCAGATATACACATCTCAGAATGTTTTGCAGCTTCTAATTTCATTTTGGAGTCGAATGACAGCCAACCATTTTAGTTCATAGGCCGAATGGCCCACACCTCTAACAACCTAACAACATCATGACCCCAAAACAAAAAGAAAGAATTATGGGAAACTCAACACTTCTCTTACTTTTAAAATAAGTAAGACTATTTCAAAAAAGTTTATTTTGTATATTTTTATAGAAATATATTAAACCTTTGAAAGAACAAAAAAAAAAATTCATTCAAATTATTTATACCAAATTAACCCAAGAATTAGATGTGAGATGTAATAGCAAATTAATTTAAGAATTTGAAACTAAAATACCTAAAATATCAAATTCAAACCTAAATTAGTCTAACAATCAAAATAGTGATGTCAAATTAACAACATGATTCTGGAAAAATTGATTTTTTTTACCAATGAAACCTCAATGTATTAATACTTTGGTAGTTTATTTATATTGACCATGAAAAGTTTATGTAAAAATGATCACACGATGGTTAACTAAATACAAATTGATAAATTCTCACAGTTTTCTAATTACCAGTAAAAGTTAGTTAGTTAAACATCCATCATTATAGTTGGAGTCCACAATAGCTGTTCAAGGCTCAGATTTAAAGATGCATGTTGTCATGTTTTATCTACAAAGCTACCTGTCAGATCCATGTTCGTTGTTCAAGGCTCAGATTTAAAGATCCATGTTCGTTGAACTGGGTCAGAAAAGGGGGAATTTCATCATCATAGCCTCAAGTATCTGGAAGCATAGCAATATAAGAGAACAGGTGTTAATCAAAACATTGTTTTTTCACAAACAATATCACAACAATGATATTCTCAAAACCTACCAAAGAGGCAAATAGCAAACAAAGAATAGTGAGTTTATATGTAAGGACTATTTAGAAGAATGGGTCTAAAGTGATGTGACGAACTAATCAAGCATATATCGTAACATTTCTATGTACCAGCAATAATGGCCTGATTGGCTTCTTCCACAGCAGACTCCCTTTCCGGGTCTTTCCGGGTCATGTTTATAGTATCGCTTACAGTTTTTCACAATATAATATGACTGTATTGGAGAAATATAATGATTTCTCTAAAAAAAACACTCTTTCCATTCATTAAGAAGATAGAAATAAAACGCAGTTATCTTCCAAAAATCGTTTGAGTGCCTTCCCGGTTGAATTTTTAGCTGAAATTTGGTATGGATAAACTATACTTCATGAAGAACATGCTCAAAAAATTTCAACAAAAAATTCCACCGGGAAGGGCCCCTGATGGCCTTGGCCGGACGGTCCCTCCCGTCCCTCCAGAGGGACCTGATCTTTTCCGTGTGTGTGTGTGTGTGTGTGTGTGTGTGTGTGTGTGTATATATATATATATATATATATATATATGTAAAAAGGGTTGCTGTTCGTTAGGCAGCCTCATGCATAAAAAGTTGCTTGAAGCCAAAGATGTAGCTCATCATCAATAAAGCATCCCCCAAGGTATAGCTCTATCAGAGGGCAGGATGTACTGACTTAAGGTCATGCCCATATTGAAGGGTAAGTTCATGCCACTGCCTAAACATTAAGGGAAAATTCGTGCAACCTCCCTGAGCAACAACCCACAACTTAAATCCTCCTCCAATCCCAGTACATCAAAAGAGATGCACAATTCAGACAAAAAAAAAAAAGCTACTATTTAATACGACATTAGAGTGGACAAGGTATGCTATCCCCCCATACCCTAGGAATCAGATGCCTCTCCACTAGCTCCCCCTCCCCTACGAAAACCACCAACTCCTAAAAATAGAGAAAAGAAACAACAACAACATCCGAGACTTGGTCCCAAAAGGGTTTGGGGTCAGCTAACATGAAATTGGAACTTAAAGAGATGAAAAAGATAAAAAGATAAACAAAGATAAGATAGATATAAAAAAAGATAAGATGAAAAAGATCAATAGGATAAAAATATAAAAAAGATAAAAATAGAAAATAATAGCAGCAACAACAGCATTACCCCTGTGACGCAGAGGCTCTCACCTACGGAGGGGTAAGGGGGTCAGATGTACACAGCCAAACCCCTGTGCTAAAGCAGGGGGAGACTGTTTCGAGATGATCCATGGTAAAAATAGAAAAAATCCAGCCTCTAGAACTAGTCCATATAAATAAGCAAACAAAACTAACTATGTCACTGAAAAAGTGAAATTTAACAAATGTACACCCGATTAATTTCATTGAGGTACAACTACTTGAAATAGCAAAATTCAGCTATGTTTTTAAAAATTATTTATTGCTTTATATAGATTTAACATACTTAACTTGTTTGGGGATATAATAAAAGAATACATTCATTATAATAAAAAGGCTAAAGGGTCAAATAGGTACATGAACTGACTTAAAGTGTTCAATTAGCCCCTTATATATGAGTTTCTGCACGGACGTCGCCAATTGGGGCGGTTCCCGGTGGAATTCTTTGATGAATTTTTTTGAAAATCTTCTTCATTAAGTCGAGTTTCTGCCCGGACGTCGCAATTGAATGATTTTCCGAAATGTACTGCGCTGTTTAATTTTTTGGAAAATCATTCGACTGAATGAAGAAGATGCTAAAAAAAAAATCATCAAAAAAATCCACCGGGAACCGCCCCAATTGGCGACGTCCAGGCAGAAACATCTATATAAGGGGTTAATTGAACACTTTGGGTTAGTTCATGTACCTATTTGACCCTTTAGCCTAATAAAAATCAGCTTCTTTTGTGACAGCAAGATAAGTTTTCAAACAAACTAATATTTTTGGACAGAGGGCAGGAAAAAAGATGATATATACCTGTATGATCAGGCAATAGACCTGCACTTTTAGCAGTGACTGGAAGCACAAGATTACCAGATTTATCAGGAACCTCATTCAGAGCTTCGCAGTTTTCATACTTGGGTTTTGATAATGTGATTTCAGCAAGTTTTGCATATGCTGTTGCTTGACTGTTCATATCAGAAGGGGTTGAGGGCTTAAAGTTACAATCCTGCAAGTACAGCTACATCAATCCTTTAATTGGAAAATGATATGAAAAATTGGTACTCCAAGTGAATATATAGAGATGGCAAGTACCTTGGGTGTATTACTGATAGTTGTGCCCTTACTTTCAGACTTTTCAGGTCCATTTTCCATCGATGTACCAGCACCAGCAGTGGCTGGGTGGTTTTTTATGTTATCAACTAGCCTTGTGGTTAATGGACCCGGATTCACAAAAGAAATGGTTCGGATTTCATGTCGTATGGCTTCTAATTGAGCAATTGTATCTTGTAGCTCTTTGTGGACCTTTAAGATAAATGCCAGAGAAAAGATCATTGCCGCCATACACAAGTATGCCCGGTATTAGAAGAGTAAAAAGAAGAGTAAAAACCTACAGAAATAGGTGAAGGAAGATAAAAAGAAACCCGTCGAGCTTGAGTTTGCTGCATGACACTCTCAAATTGACCACGGGCCATTTGAACATAGCCAATAGCACGGCCAGATAACCTCCCAGCAGTTCTTGCTATGACTGGAAGGTCCTTCGGTCCTGACAAATCAAAACCCTGCCAAGTTATTAATCAAAACATACATCCAGTCCTGGGCTTCTTTTAGTATTAGATCAATGGCTGAGAAAATGATAGCAGCCGAACTCTCTGCTAAAGGTACATCAAAATATATAATTCCTCTAGAAATTTCTTAAAAGAGAAACTGATTGAGAAATAAAAAACAGAGTATTTCACATTCTAAACTTCTATTTTGTATGCACAAAATAAACACATAATTTCGAATGCAATGAATGAATAATAGTAGAAACTTTGAATGAAGCCATCAGACACCAATGATTCTCCACATAAGCTTAAAGCTAATAATACGGTCCGCATCATGGTTCGATCTAAGAGATCGCATCACGCAGCTTGTCAATTTCAGCTAAAACTAAAGCAAAAAAGGCAGAATAAAATCAACAAAAGAAGAGCTCAGGGAATAGAATGGGTATGAGACAATTATCATCACTCTCTCCGAAGGAGGTCAGAGTGGTGCATGACAATCTCTGTATTTCATCATCGCTCTTCTTCGTCTAGTGAATATTCATTAATAATTACTACGTAATAATCAAACCTAATTTTAAAAAAAACGAAAAATAGGGGGAAATGGATAATAAATAACGCTCAGAGATAATTTTCGCTATGATGATGAGGAATAGGTGAATGCTCAGAAAAGACTGCGCATGATCAAAACATACATCCAGTCCTGGGCTTCTTTTAGTATTAGATCAATGGCTGAGAAAATGATAGCAGCCGAACTCTCTACTAAAGGTACATCAAAATATATAATTCCTCTAGAAATTTCTTAAAAGAGAAATTGACTGAGAAATAAAAAACAGAGCATTTCACATTCTAAACTTCTATTTTGTATGCACAAAATAAACATATAATTTCGAATGCAATGAATGAATAATAGTAGAAACTTTGAATGAAGCCATCAGACACCAATGATTCTCCACATAAGCTTAAAGCTAATAATACGGTCCGCATCATGGTTCGATCTAAGAGATCGCATCACGCAGCTTGTCAATTTCAGCTAAAACTAAAGCAAAAAAGGCAGAATAAAATCAACAAAAGAAGAGCTCAGGGAATAGAATGGGTATGAGACAATTATCATCACTCTCTCCGAAGGAGGTCAGAGTGGTGCATGACAATCTCTGTATTTCATCATCGCTCTTCTTCGTCTAGTGAATATTCATTAATAATTACTACGTAATAATCAAACCTAATTTTAAAAAAACGAAAAATAGGGGGAAATGGATAATAAATAACACTCAGAGATAATTTCCGCTATGATGATGAGGAATAGGTGAATGCTCAGAGAAGACTGCGCATGATATATAAGAGCGGAAATTAGGTTTCACCCAAACCCGAATCTAAACTATTTATTCGTATAATGTAAAAACAAAGAAACCCAAACATATATAAGATCTAATACAAACATATGCGAAATCAAACATAAGAAATAAACTGTCATTAGAACTTTTCCTTTCCGCTAGCATTCCCTGAAACTTTTCCTTCTTGAGTACTCTTTGAGCTAATTATGGGTATTTTATGGTACCTATTATAGTCTGGTGCATGTTCTCCATTATCTTCCTTCATGAGATTACTTCCAAGTTCCAAGTCATGGAATTAATGGGGTGGAAAACTTATACTGAATCTATTCACTTCTGAAAGTCTACAACCTATAAGGAGTCAGAAAAGGGGGAATTTCATCATCATAGCCTCAAGTATCTGGAAGCATAGCAATATAAGAGAACTGGTGTTAATCAAAACATTGTTTTTTCACAAACAATATCACAACAATGATATTCTCAAAACCTACCAAAGAGGCAAATAGCAATCAAAGAATAGTGAGTTTATATGTAGGGACTATTTAGAAGAATGTGTCTAAAGTGATGTGATGAACTAATCAAGCATATATCGTAACATTTCTATGTACCAGCAATAATGGCCTGATTGGCTTCTTCCACAGCAGACTCCCTTTTGTGTGCATGGGAGATGTGAAAGACAATGTCAAATTTTGTTTGAAATTATTTAGACTACGAAAAAGTACAATTAATGTGATAGCTACAATTGTGTCATTTATGAACATGCTTAAAACCTGGTTCCATAATGTTTATCATACGATATGAACATACATGCAGTTTAGACATTTAATCTCCTTCCTTTTTTTTTGTTTATGGGACAAATCAGAATCTGAAAACTCAAGATGAAAATCATACTAATGATGCATTTGTATTGATTGTACATTGATATGGAAAAGAAAAAAATAATAATGGGTGCTTTCCGGGTCATGTTTATAGTATCGCTTACAGTTTTTCACAATATAATATGACTGTATTGGAGAAATATAATGATTTCTATAAAAAAAAAATACTCTTTCCATTCATTAAGAAGATAGAAATAAATCAGAAAAAAAAAAAGAATACATGTGAGAATGAGTATATAACTGTCAGTTATAAGATCCCTGCCTACCTACTACTAGACCCTGCTGAGAAGCTACGCCTAGGCATCTGGTCTTCATCATCCACCTACAGTTTTTTTAGGGCTCCTCAAAACATTGCATTATGTCACTGTTTAAAAACTCTTTTCATATGCAGAGTTCATTCCATTCCCCAGAGTTACTTCAACTTTAATGGGAATCTGTAGAGACGGTGAATCTGTGCCTTCGATTAACCCTGAATTTAACTTCACTCTGATATTCTTGTTTGCAAATCTTAACGGCTACATATCAATTGAGGTTGTTAACCGAGTTGTTTTACATACTTCATGCATTGAATTCTGTATGCTGAGCTAGGATTTTGATATGTTAGGACCAAAGGACATTCTAATCACAGTAAGAACTCCTAGGAGGTAATCTGGGGTGGAATGACCTGGTTTTGTAAATCAATACACTTCCCAAGCCAGCAGATGTGAGAGATGTCACACAACCAAACGGTTAATCTGAGTAGCTACACTATTATATTGAATAACCAGGTACCTCTATTTCATTTCATTAGATTTTGGGGCTGTGAGAAAAACTTCTTTGCATTTTGTGCCACATCTGCCTCTATAATAGCTTCTAGCACAATGTCAGATCCCTTTGCTTCAGCTAGAGCAAGCAATTCAAGAAAAGGTGAACATTAACTACTGCCTCTATTTGATTTATTGTGAACAGTTTGATGATGAGGCATGTAAATATATATGTGTGTGTGTGTGTGTGTGTGTGTGTGTGTGTTAAAAGGGGTGCTATTCGTTATGCAGCCTCATGCATAAAAAGTTGCTTGAAGCCAAAGATGTAGCTCATCATCAATAAAGCATCCTCCAAGGTATAGCTCTATCAGAGGGCAGGATGTACTGACTTAAGGTCAAGCCCAGATTGAAGGGTAAGTTCATGCCACTGCCTAAACATTAAGGGAAAATTCATGCAACCTCCCTGAGCAACAACCCACAACTTAAATCCTCCTCCAATCCCAGTACATCAAAAGAGATGCACAATTCAGACAAAAAAAAAAAGCTACTATTTAATACGACATTAGAGTGGACAAGGTATGCTATCCCCCCATACCCTAGGAATCAGATGCCTCTCCACTAGCTCCCCCTCCCCTACGAAAACCACCAACTCCTAAAAATAGAGAAAAGAAACAACAACAACATCCGAGACTTGGTCCCAAAAGGGTTTGGGGTCAGCTAACATGAAATTGGAACTTAAAGAGATGAAAAAGATAAAAAGATAAACAAAGATAAGATAGATATAAAAAAAGATAAGATGAAAAAGATCAATAGGATAAAAATATAAAAAAGATAAAAATAGAAAATAATAGCAGCAACAACAGCATTACCCCTGTGACGCAGAGGCTCTCACCTACGGAGGGGTAAGGGGGTCAGATGTACACAGCCAAACCCCTGTGCTAAAGCAGGGGGGGACTGTTTCGAGATGATCCATGGTAAAAATAGAAAAAACCCAGCCTCTAGAACTAGTCCATATAAATAAGCAAACAAAACTAACTATGTCACTGAAAAAGTGAAATTTAACAGATGTACACCCGATTAATTTCATTGAGGTACAACTACTTGAAATAGCAAAATTCAGCTATGTTTTTAAAAATTATTTATTGCTTTATATAGATTTAACATACTTAACTTGTTTGGGGATATAATAAAAGAATACATTCATTATAATAAAAAGGCTAAAGGGTCAAATAGGTACATGAACTTACTTAAAGTGTTCAATTAGCCCCTTATATATGAGTTTCTGCCCGGACGTCGCCAATTGGGGCGGTTCCCGGTGGAATTCTTTGATGAATTTTTTTGAAAATCTTCTTCATTAAGTCTAGTTTACCCATGCCAAATTTCAGCTAGAAATTCAACCGGGAAGGCAATCGAATGATTTTCCGAAATCTACTGCGCTGTTTAATTTTTTGGAAAATCATTCGACTGCCTTCCTGGTTGAATTTTTAGCTGAGATTTGGTAGGGGTAAACTAGACTTAATGAAGAAGATGCTCAAAAAAAATTCATCAAAAAATTCCACCGGGAATTTTTTGGGTTAGTTCATGTACCTATTTGACCCTTTAGCCTAATAAAAATCAGCTTCTTTTGTGACAGCAAGATAAGTTTTCAAACAAACTAATATTTTTGGACAGAGAGGGCAGGAAAAAAGATGATATACACCTGTATGATCAGGCAATAGACCTGCACTTTTAGCAGTGACTGGAAGCACAAGATTACCAGATTTATCAGGAACCTCATTCAGAGCTTCGCAGTTTTCATACTTGGGTCTCGATAATGTGATTTCAGCAAGTTTTGCATATGCTGTTGCTTGACTGTTCATATCAGAAGAGGTTGAGGGCTTAAAGTTACAATCCTGCAAGTACAGCTACATCAATCCTTTAATTGGAAAATGATATGAAAAATTGGTACTCCAAGTGAATATATAGAGATGGCAAGTACCTTGGGTGTATTACTGATAGTTGTGCCCTTACTTTCAGACTTTTCAGGTCCATTTTCCATCGATGTACCAGCACCAGCAGTGGGTGGGTGGTTTTTTATGTTATCAACTAGCCTTGTGGTTAATGGACCCGGATTCACAAAAGAAATGGTTCGGATTTCATGTCGTATGGCTTCTAATTGAGCAATTGTATCTTGTAGCTCTTTGTGGACCTTTAAGATAAATGCCAGAGAAAAGATCATTGCCGCCATACACAAGTATGCCCGGTATGAGAAGAGTAAAAAGAAGAGTAAAAACCTACAGAAATAGGTGAAGGAAGATAAAAAGAAACCCGTCGAGCTTGAGTTTGCTGCATGACACTCTCAAATTGACCACGGGCCATTTGAACATAGCCAATAGCACGGCCAGATAACCTCCCAGCAGTTCTTGCTATGACTGGAAGGTCCTTCGGTCCTGACAAATCAAAACCCTGCCAAGTTATTAATCAAAACATACATCCAGTCCTGGGCTTCTTTTAGTATTAGATCAATGGCTGAGAAAATGATAGCAGCCGAACTCTCTGCTAAAGGTACATCAAAATATATAATTCCTCTAGAAATTTCTTAAAAGAGAAACTGATTGAGAAATAAAAAACAGAGTATTTCACATTCTAAACTTCTATTTTGTATGCACAAAATAAACACATAATTTCGAATGCAATGAATGAATAATAGTAGAAACTTTGAATGAAGCCATCAGACACCAATGATTCTCCACATAAGCTTAAAGCTAATAATACGGTCCGCATCATGGTTCGATCTAAGAGATCGCATCACGCAGCTTGTCAATTTCAGCTAAAACTAAAGCAAAAAAGGCAGAATAAAATCAACAAAAGAAGAGCTCAGGGAATAGAATGGGTATGAGACAATTATCATCACTCTCTCCGAAGGAGGTCAGAGTGGTGCATGACAATCTCTGTATTTCATCATCGCTCTTCTTCGTCTAGTGAAAATTCATTAATAATTACTACGTAATAATCAAACCTAATTTTAAAAAAACGAAAAATAGGGGGAAATGGATAATAAATAACGCTCAGAGATAATTTCCGCTTTGATGATGAGGAATAGGTGAATGCTCAGAGAAGACTGCGCATGATCAAAACATACATCCAGTCCTGGGCTTCTTTTAGTATTAGATCAATGGCTGAGAAAATGATAGCAGCCGAACTCTCTACTAAAGGTACACCAAAATATATAATTCCTCTAGAAATTTCTTAAAAGAGAAACTGATTGAGAAATAAAAAACAGAGTATTTCACATTCTAAACGTCTATTTTGTATGCACAAAATAAACATATAATTTCGAATGCAATGAATGAATAATAGTAGAAACTTTGAATGAAGCCATCAGACACCAATGATTCTCCACATAAGCTTAAAGCTAATAATACGGTCCGCATCATGGTTCGATCTAAGAGATTGCATCACGCAGCTTGTCAATTTCAGCTAAAACTAAAGCAAAAAAGGCAGAATAAAATCAACAAAAGAAGAGCTCAGGGAATAGAATGGGTATGAGACAATTATCATCACTCTCTCCGAAGGAGGTCAGAGTGGTGCATGACAATCTCTGTATTTCATCATCGCTCTTCTTCGTCTAGTGAATATTCATTAATAATTACTACGTAATAATCAAACCTAATTTAAAAAAAACAAAAATAGGGGGAAATGGATAATAAATAACGCTCAGAGATAATTTCCGCTATGATGATGAGGAATAGGTGAATGCTCAGAGAAGACTGCGCATGATCAAAACATACATCCAGTCCTGGGCTTCTTTTAGTATTAGATCAATGGCTGAGAAAATGATAGCAGCCGAACTCTCTGCTAAAGGTACATCAAAATATATAATTCCTCTAGAAATTTCTTAAAAAGAGAAACTGATTGAGAAATAAAAAACAGAGCATTTCACATTCTAAACTTCTATTTTGTATGCACAAAATAAACATATAATTTCGAATGCAATGAATGAATAATAGTAGAAACTTTGAATGAAGCCATCAGACACCAATGATTCTCCGCATAAGCTTAAAGCTAATAATACGGTCCGCATCATGGTTCGATCTAAGAGATCGCATCACGCAGCTTGTCAATTTCAGCTAAAACTAAAGCAAAAAAGGCAGAATAAAATCAACAAAAGAAGAGCTCAGGGAATAGAATGGGTATGAGACAATTATCATCACTCTCTCCGAAGGAGGTCAGAGTGGTGCATGACAATCTCTGTATTTCATCATCGCTCTTCTTCGTCTAGTGAATATTCATTAATAATTACTACGTAATAATCAAACCTAATTTAAAAAAAAAACAAAAATAGGGGGAAATGGATAATAAATAACGCTCAGAGATAATTTCCGCTATGATGATGAGGAATAGGTGAATGCTCAGAGAAGACTGCGCATGATCAAAACATACATCCAGTCCTGGGCTTCTTTTAGTATTAGATCAATGGCTGAGAAAATGATAGCAGCCGAACTCTCTGCTAAAGGTACATCAAAATATATAATTCCTCTAGAAATTTCTTAAAAAGAGAAACTGATTGAGAAATAAAAAACAGAGCATTTCACATTCTAAACTTCTATTTTGTATGCACAAAATAAACATATAATTTCGAATGCAATGAATGAATAATAGTAGAAACTTTGAATGAAGCCATCAGACACCAATGATTCTCCGCATAAGCTTAAAGCTAATAATACGGTCCGCATCATGGTTCAATCTAAGAGATCGCATCACGCAGCTTGTCAATTTCAGCTAAAACTAAAGCAAAAAAGGCAGAATAAAATCAACAAAAGAAGAGCTCAGGGAATAGAATGGGTATGAGACAATTATCATCACTCTCTCCGAAGGAGGTCAGAGTGGTGCATGACAATCTCTGTATTTCATCATCGCTCTTCTTCGTCTAGTGAATATTCATTAATAATTACTACGTAATAATCAAACCTAATTTTAAAAAAACGAAAAATAGGGGGAAATGGATAATAAATAACACTCAGAGATAATTTCCGCTATGATGATGAGGAATAGGTGAATGCTCAGAGAAGACTGCGCATGATATATAAGAGCGGAAATTAGGTTTCACCCAAACCCGAATCTAAACCATTTATTCGTATAATGTAAAAACAAAGAAACCCAAACATATATAAGATCTAATACAAACATATGCGAAATCAAACATAAGAAATAAACTGTCATTAGAACTTTTCCTTTCCGCTAGCATTCCCTGAAACTTTTCCTTCTTGAGTACTCTTTGAGCTAATTATGGGTATTTTATGGTACCTATTATAGTCTGGTGCATGTTCTCCATTATCTTCCTTCATGAGATTACTTCCAAGTTCCAAGTCATGGAATTAATGGGGTGGAAAACTCATACTGAATCTATTCACTTCTGAAAGTCTACAACCTATAAGGAGTCAGAAAAGGGGGAATTTCATCATCATAGCCTCAAGTATCTGGAAGCATAGCAATATAAGAGAACTGGTGTTAATCAAAACATTGTTTTTTCACAAACAATATCACAACAATGATATTCTCAAAACCTACCAAAGAGGCAAATAGCAAACAAAGAATAGTGAGTTTATATGTAGGGACTATTTAGAAGAATGTGTCTAAAGTGATGTGATGAACTAATCAAGCATATATCATAACATTTCTATGTACCAGCAATAATGGCCTGATTGGCTTCTTCCACAGCAGACTCCCTTTTGTGTGCATGGGAGATGTGAAAGACAATGTCAAATTTTGTTTGAAATTATTTAGACTACGAAAAAGTACAATTAATGTGATAGCTACAATTGTGTCATTTATGAACATGCTTAAAACCTGGTTCCATAATGTTTATCATACGATATGAACATACATGCAGTTTAGACATTTAATCTCCTTCCTTTTTTTTTTGTTTATGGGACAAATCAGAATCTGAAAACTCAAGATGAAAATCATACTAATGATGCATTTGTATTGATTGTACATTGATATGGAAAAGAAAAAAATAATAATGGGTGCTTTCCGGGTCATGTTTATAGTATCGCTTACAGTTTTTCACAATATAATATGACTGTATTGGAGAAATATAATGATTTCTATAAAAAAAAATACTCTTTCCATTCATTAAGAAGATAGAAATAAATCAGAAAAAAAAAAGAATACATGTGAGAATGAGTATATAACTGTCAGTTATAAGATCCCTGCCTACCTACTACTAGACCCTGCTGAGAAGCTACGCCTAGGCATCTGGTCTTCATCATCCACCTACAGTTTTTTTAGGGCTCCTCAAAACATTGCATTATGTCACTGTTTAAAAACTCTTTTCATATGCAGAGTTCATTCCATTCCCCAGAGTTACTTCAACTTTAATGGGAATCTGTAGAGACGGTGAATCTGTGCCTTCGATTAACCCTGAATTTAACTTCACTCTGATATTCTTGTTTGCAAATCTTAACGGCTACATATCAATTGAGGTTGTTAACCGAGTTGTTTTACATACTTCATGCATTGAATTCTGTATGCTGAGCTAGGATTTTGATATGTTAGGACCAAAGGACATTCTAATCACAGTAAGAACTCCTAGGAGGTAATCTGGGGTGGAATGACCTGGTTTTGTAAATCAATACACTTCCCAAGCCAGCAGATGTGAGAGATGTCACACAACCAAACGGTTAATCTGAGTAGCTACACTATTATATTGAATAACCAGGTACCTCTATTTCATTTCATTAGATTTTGGGGCTGTGAGAAAAACTTCTTTGCATTTTGTGCCACATCTGCCTCTATAATAGCTTCTAGCACAATGTCAGATCCCTTTGCTTCAGCTAGAGCAAGCAATTCAAGAAAAGGTGAACATTAACTACTGCCTCTATTTGATTTATTGTGAACAGTTTGATGATGAGGCATGTAAATATATATATATGTGTGTGTGTGTGTGTGTGTTAAAAGGGGTGCTGTTCGTTATGCAGCCTCATGCATAAAAAGTTGCTTGAAGCCAAAGATGTAGCTCATCATCAATAAAGCATCCCCCAAGGTATAGCTCTATCAGAGGGCAGGATGTACTGACTTAAGGTCAAGCCCAGATTGAAGGGTAAGTTCATGCCACTGCCTAAACATTAAGGGAAAATTCATGCAACCTCCCTGAGCAACAACCCACAACTTAAATCCTCCTCCAATCCCAGTACATCAAAAGAGATGCACAATTCAGACAAAAAAAAAAAAGCTACTATTTAATACGACATTAGAGTGGACAAGGTATGCTATCCCCCCATACCCTAGGAATCAGATGCCTCTCCACTAGCTCCCCCTCCCCTACGAAAACCACCAACTCCTAAAAATAGAGAAAAGAAACAACAACAACATCCGAGACTTGGTCCCAAAAGGGTTTGGGGTCAGCTAACATGAAATTGGAACTTAAAGAGATGAAAAAGATAAAAAGATAAACAAAGATAAGATAGATATAAAAAAAGATAAGATGAAAAAGATCAATAGGATAAAAATATAAAAAAGATAAAAATAGAAAATAATAGCAGCAACAACAGCATTACCCCTGTGACGCAGAGGCTCTCACCTACGGAGGGGTAAGGGGGTCAGATGTACACAGCCAAACCCCTGTGCTAAAGCAGGGGGGGACTGTTTCGAGATGATCCATGGTAAAAATAGAAAAAACCCAGCCTCTAGAACTAGTCCATATAAATAAGCAAACAAAACTAACTATGTCACTGAAAAAGTGAAATTTAACAGATGTACACCCGATTAATTTCATTGAGGTACAACTACTTGAAATAGCAAAATTCAGCTATGTTTTTAAAAATTATTTATTGCTTTATATAGATTTAACATACTTAACTTGTTTGGGGATATAATAAAAGAATACATTCATTATGATAAAAAGGCTAAAGGGTCAAATAGGTACATGAACTGACTTAAAGTGTTCAATTAGCCCCTTATATATGAGTTTCTGCCCGGACGTCGCCAATTGGGGCGGTTCCCGGTGGAATTCTTTGATGAATTTTTTTGAAAATCTTCTTCATTAAGTCTAGTTTACCCATGCCAAATTTCAGCTAGAAATTCAACCGGGAAGGCAATCGAATGATTTTCCGAAATGTACTGCGCTGTTTAATTTTTTGGAAAATCATTCGACTGCCTTCCTGGTTGAATTTTTAGCTGAGATTTGGTAGGGGTAAACTAGACTTAATGAAGAAGATGCTCAAAAAAAATTCATCAAAAAATTCCACCGGGAACCGCCCCAATTGGCGACGTCCAGGCAGAAACTCCTATATAAGGGGTTAATTGAACACTTTGGGTTAGTTCATGTACCTATTTGACCCTTTAGCCTAATAAAAATCAGCTTCTTTTGTGACAGCAAGATAAGTTTTCAAACAAACTAATATTTTTGGACAGAGAGGGCAGGAAAAAAGATGATATATACCTGTATGATCAGGCAATAGACCTGCACTTTTAGCAGTGACTGGAAGCACAAGATTACCAGATTTATCAGGAACCTCATTCAGAGCTTCGCAGTTTTCATACTTGGGTTTTGATAATGTGATTTCAGCAAGTTTTGCATATGCTGTTGCTTGACTGTTCATATCAGAAGAGGTTGAGGGCTTAAAGTTACAATCCTGCAAGTACAGCTACATCAATCCTTTAATTGGAAAATGATATGAAAAATTGGTACTCCAAGTGAATATATAGAGATGGCAAGTACCTTGGGTGTATTACTGATAGTTGTGCCCTTACTTTCAGACTTTTCAGGTCCATTTTCCATCGATGTACCAGCACCAGCAGTGGGTGGGTGGTTTTTTATGTTATCAACTAGCCTTGTGGTTAATGGACCCGGATTCACAAAAGAAATGGTTCGGATTTCATGTCGTATGGCTTCTAATTGAGCAATTGTATCTTGTAGCTCTTTGTGGACCTTTAAGATAAATGCCAGAGAAAAGATCATTGCCGCCATACACAAGTATGCCCGGTATGAGAAGAGTAAAAAGAAGAGTAAAAACCTACAGAAATAGGTGAAGGAAGATAAAAAGAAACCTGTCGAGCTTGAGTTTGCTGCATGACACTCTCAAATTGACCACGGGCCATTTGAACATAGCCAATAGCACGGCCAGATAACCTCCCAGCAGTTCTTGCTATGACTGGAAGGTCCTTCGGTCCTGACAAATCAAAACCCTGCCTCAGCATATATAAATCAACACATGAAGGAATCGAAGGATATAATCAATCTCATACTGAGAAGCAAGTTTTGGGAATAGGAAACAGGATTATCAGAACTATCGTGAAAAACCGGGTGAATCCAAGACAGTTTACACCGCCATTACAGAGGAAGAGTACCAATTAAAGCCGCAGTAGCTCCAAGCAATAAAAACAACTCTCTGTATGAAAACCCTAGCATGTCTTTATGTCTCTAGTTTGAACAAAGAATTAATGGGAGCTGGAGTCAATAGATCTCGCTGTTCGTTGCTGAGGAAGCCGGAGTGTCTAGAACTCTAGACCTGAGAAGGAATACAATACAAAAGAAGCAATTAAACATTAGAAGGAATAATTTTATATGGGAAAAAATCACATTACAAGGAATAATATTATGTGACAAAAACAACAACCAAGCTTTATTCCCAAAAGAGATTCATTTTATGTGAAATTAATTTATATTTTTTCCAGCAAAAAATTAAAAAGAAGATTTACCCTCAACGATGTTAACTATTCAAGCATAGGCAAACAGGTAAGAATCCACAGTGCAAGCGCAGGAAATTATTTTGCTTTCACATTTTAAAGCATAGAATGACTATATACTAACAGAAACTGTTAGCTGTGTAATATGAAGTTCAAAAAATTACACGAAGAGGAACAAAAGCAAGTATCTAAAGTCTCCAGTTCAAAAATCGACTCTTAACCAACTTTGAGCTTCCTGTCTTTCCCATGGTATCTCCATAAACAAACAGAAATGCAATTTACAATGTGCAATTAGGTGTCTGCTCAATCTTGAGCAGCATTATTAGTATCATAAAGAAGCTTAGGAATTTGATGTGCAACTTAGAATAGGGATTTGAGGTAAATAAGTTGGGCCATGAGTCCATGACTAGTGGCTGATCTATTGCCCCTATTTTGCGTGCATGAAATTATTTTAAATTGAAATGAAGAACAATACATCTATCTTTATCTAAAAGCAAAAGAAATTCAACGCACAGTACTCCCGCCCAATTGTGTCAACGTCGAAATTCCCGCCCAAACTGTCGGGTCAAATAAGTGGATTCGGGTCCAAAAACGGGTCTCTGATTTATGGTCAGGTCTACATCCAAAAAGATTAAATTTGTGTTACTTTGGCAGGCCGCATGTGCTTGTATTTATTGTGGTAACATTATGTCTTTTCAAAAATTTTTGAAGCATTAAATGCAAAGATTCTTGAAGCATTATTGCATTAATGTTTATACAGCCGTGTTATTGTATTGCAAGCTGTCCCTCTAAACATTTTTTTAAACATATTTTGAAAAGCAAATAAATATCGGTCACGTTTCTTATTTTGTACTTTGCTGGCAGACTCACCTTTCAAACTTAGCATTGAATAAAGTGTACTATCATATCTTATTGAGCAGCACAAAATATAGCCCATAATCTTCAAAGTACATTGGCATTAAATGCAAAGCAACTACTAAAGTTAAATTCAAACTATTGGCGTCCGTTGGTTATTGATGTGTTCTTTGCCCAGGGGTTATTGATTGAACCAACCAGTTCACAACATACAAGCTAATCTTCAGTATAAATACACTGATCTAATCAGTTCATTTTCCATCCCAGAATCACAAAACATCACACAACTCATTCCATATCCACTCCACTGCTTGGGGTTAACTACATCTCATTTTTGTTTTTCACAGTTCTTCAATGACGAGGATCATCAAAAGCACAACCATCAACAAAAAAGAAGTCTTCAATACTTGAAGAGCAAAGGTAGTTTTATAAATATAAAATTAATATTCAATACATTAAATATAATAGTATATCATACTATATTGATTCTATATGGTTTAGTTAAAATACATAGTATAAAGTGTATACATTAAAATGAAGAAGCTCACAAAAGTTACCATGATCATCCGTAAAAGGAGGATCAAAGACACAATTGATCAAGGCATCTGACCACAGTATTTTCAAGGCAGGAGAAAATGTAGTGTGTATTATATACAAAATTTCAGTAACATAAAAAAAGGTAGAACAAGGTAAAAGAAGTGTATATTAAACTATAAATAACATACTATATATTATTACATATTATACTTCATTATATTATATACAGTATATTACACGTTATATATATATTATTCATAAGAAGCTTATCAAAACGCAAGGAAGATAGGAATATTTTTTACTCTGTAAACCTCATTTTTATCTCAAAGCTGGATTTTACGTATGACAAATTGTACCTTAATCTCAATATTTGGAGATAATGTACAAATTAGTCACTGACATAAGGAAAATACTTTCCCCACACCAATTAAAAAAATCATTACCATCGGTCGTTAAACACAAATCTGATATTTTGACAGATTTGGTCTAAAAATAATATAACCGGTGCCATTTTTGTAGTCCTTAATCAAGAAATGAACTGATTTACAGATCTTGGTAAAAAAAAAAATCATAATCGTTTTGTGAATTAACTCAAATTCATGAGTACATGCCATGCATGTAAAAAAAATCACTGCTTAATGAAGCAGTCTACCACAAGGCATGAAGATCGGTAGAAAACAGGCATGTACTGTGCACAAAAATGATATATTTCAAGATAAATGTTCACGGAAAAGATTTATTTCCAGAAAAATGGTCACGAAAACGAAGTATTTGAACAAAAATTGAGGGCGACATATAGGAAAAGATATATACCAAACCACTGGGACGTAGTCGCTACAGCTTTGAATTTGATCGGGGTAGCGGTGGAATCCGCAGACAGTGATGTCGTGAGGTGAACATCCGTCTTAGAAGCTCGATGAAATGCCGACAATCGAACAGCCGTAATCACACTGCCGGAAATTGTCCAGTACAATAGCTAAGCAATGACTATAGTGACGGTCTCAAACTATAACCGTTGAGTCTTCAAAATGAAGAGTACAGAAGGCTGGAAAATGCAGAATATATATGAGGGTTGGGGATGGGCAGTTGGGCCGGGTAGGTTATTGAATTGGGTTGTTTGTTGGGTCAATTTTTGATGAGTTTGGGTCCAACTTAACCTGTCCATTTGATATCACACCAATTCCAATTAAGTTGTTACCATTTTAAGTTTAATAATGAGTTTTGAATTTTCGTTAATGCCTTTTACATTTTTATTATTCATTCCATTTTTAATGAATAATTAGTAATTATTTTTGTAATAATTATTTATTTTTATTATTTATTACTTAGTTAATTATAAGGAAGTGTGGGACATTATATTATGATTGGGTCGGATAGGTTACCCCATTAATAGGTTTTTGGGTTGTTGGGTTGGGCAGGTTTACATATTACTCCGTAGTATTTTAATTAATTGGATTATTTGGCTGGGTGGGTTTAGTTATACATATTTTAGTTAATGGGTTTAAGATGTGTGTGAAATTATTTAATTATTTTTTAATTTTGTTATTAATCAATGATTTAATTTATTAACAATTATTATAAATTAGTTCAAAAATAATAATTGTTATTAATGTTTTATTAATTAAATTTTTATAATTCATTATTACTTCTAATTATGAATGTAATAAATTTTTGAGTGTGGTTGAGTTTCTTTTGATATGTATATGTTCATATATTATTTAAATAAAAAGTTTGTTTTTAATTAAAATTAAAGTTAATGATTTTTTTTTGCTTTTATTCTGCAAAAAACGTTGATGATAGAGTCGATAGTTAACATCCTTCTCGACTTGTGGGAATCAGCTCCAATTCTTCTAAATGCACAAGATCAATTACAATCGAAGGAATTTCTAATAATTTCACTATAAACACTTATTATTTCACTTACCACTTTGTACTTTCAAATGTTATCTCTTTTATAATATTTGCATTTTCCCTTCTTCGACAATGTTTTAATTTGTCTTTAACTACAAACACTTAGTATATTACTTACCACTTTATTCCGAGTTCAATTGTTTTTACGTTTTTATAATTGACTTCTTAATCACACATTAGTAAATTTTCATCCGTGCATCGCACGGGTGAGAATCTAGTTATAACAGAGGATATGCATTGTAAAGGATGGGTCTGGGCCACACTTTAAATTTTGAGGAAAGTTTTCCTATTGGCTGTAGCTGACGGTGGGTATAGTAAGAACAAAAATTAATGAGACCTCTTATTGGTCGAAGAGGTGGTGGTTACTGTTGCCAAAATTTGTGACATGATGCTTCCTTGCTTTCCATTGGTTGATGAGGGTGGTGTGAAAAAGTGAGGGGATAGTACCTGCAACAAGTAGTACACAAACGTTCATCTGTAAATTCACAATTCTAGCACCAACATTCTCACAACCATTCTCGTTGCTATAGAAGGAAGTGTTCATAACTTCCTAAAAAGTTATTTTCTGGAAATTATATTTCACTATGAAGAGCTCCCACAAATTTAAAATCATCATTTAAAATTCACTTTTCATATTTTGATCGAATATCAATAATTCATTGTTTTAATATCTACAGGGCTCAAAGATCCATCTCACATTCCTTATGAAAAACTCGTTGTTTTAATGTTGTTTTTCTTATCTTCTGGAAATTATGTGTGCCTTATTGTTTTAAAACATCCAACTCATTGTTTTATATTTGATTATGTGTGCATGTATAAATTCGTCTATATAATGTTTACAAAATGTAAAATGTTATACAAAAGCAAGTCCAAAAACAGTATGCCCATAAGTTACTACTCCTAGATGAGTTCATCTATATATATATATATAAGTTGCTATAAATGAAGTAGCTTTTATTGGAAAAGTAATTTCGGAAACTCAATCTTCTCATTGTGACTTTGTGATTAAAAGTGATACAGTGTTTTAATCTTTTGATTATCTAGAGAAGGTTGGTGATATCATGATAAATGTCATTAAGTGGTACAAGGTTTCCGATGATGGTATATGTTATTGGAGGCATTTCAAAAAATTAATTTGAATTTCATCTCCACACATGATTTATTTTACGCAAGGAATTATCTCATTTTACTCCATATTTTACAATTTTCTCACTTCATAACGCTTTACGATAAAAATTATTAATAACTATTGAAGAAAATAGCTCAAATCGCGCGTCCCTACACCGTGCATCGCACAGGTGAGTTACTAGTTTGCTTAATGCAACAACCCTGTTTTGCTTATTGCCTTTTGTTTTACGAACTTGCAAAATTAGTTTTTTATTTTTCATCCTTGTAATTTATGTTGTTTTTCTTTTTAGACCATCGCTGATCATAACAACTTCCATTTGACAATGAAACAACCTTGAGGAATAGGTTTCCTATCATTCTTCATCATGATATTCAAACAGTATTTAATTTTTTTAATTTTTAGAAGGTTATGAAAAGATATTCTAAAAATGTGAATAATTCGTTTTACATTGTTTTAAATTTCATGTTGTCCACAAAAGAAAACATAATAGGCTAAATTTAAAATTTTCTAGTAGATTTACGCATCCGGACATGTTTTTTTCTAAATAAAGTGGCATAGTTAGAGATGGACTAAAACAAAATAGTACATATTACAGGATCAAAAACAAAAAATTTATTTTGCAGGACTCTAAAACAAAATGTGTCATATTTGACCCTGTACAATGTAGTAGAATCCTGCGAGTCACTAAAATGTGTCATATTTGACCCTGTACAATCTAAAACAATAATTCGTTTTACATTGTTTTAAATTTCATGTGTCATATTTCCAGACTAGGAGCTTGCCAGTCTGGAAATGGAAAAGTGTCAAAGTGGCGAGTCACTAAGAACGTACTGACTACGGATAAGGCGTGAAGACAACTGGCGAGAAGGCGAAGTCGTGAATTGTGAGATTAGCATCTCATGGTCCGATAGTTCTTTTCTGAATAGGGGTGGAAACGACATGGGTGGACTTCTGAGTATGGAGCCATTAAACTAGATACACTAGGGGTGGGCACGGGTCAGGTAGGATCGGGTAATCTTAAAACAATTAAGAACTGCCAGGTAGGTTCGGGCCGGGTACATGAATTCTAATGCTAGGAACTGGATCCTACCCGCCCCGTTTGAAACGGGTTGGTTCAGTCCGGATTTTGTGTATTAGTCATGTATTCAACCAAACAGAAATTCCGAAAATCTACAACATGCACTATATTAAATCAACAAGTCAACAACAAACAGAAACTTAAAGTTCCAAGTTTGCAGATAGAGATGATTTTAAAACAGAAAAGATTCAGAAGCAGCCTCCCAAGAGATGCCTGGTTTCTGAGCTTCTTAGTCTGGCTTACTACCTGGTTTCTCAGCTTATTAGTCATCTTATAAACATGTATATTTTTCTTATAATTTGAGAGGCCCAGTGAGGGAAAAATCAGCCCCCTATCTATATTTATATATCTTCTATAGTAAAACAGAAGCGTGGGGAGGTTTGAGAGGGATTATGGGCAGGAATAGCAGTACGCCAAAGAGAACGTGTGTGTCCCTTTAATTGTGTTCTCATTAGCACCAATAAATGCATTAACTGTTCTGTCTTGAGGTTGTCCAGCTTCCTAATTTCCCTTCTTTTTAGAAAGATGCATGAAAATTTTAATATGTGATGCAGATGGACAAACTGCTACCGAGACACTGAATGTTGTGTACAAAGAAGTATTCAACAACGTCTGATAGAATTGCATCAAATACAGTTATACAATTACACAATGTAATAGCATCAATGATTGCATGTGGATGTTTTCATACTTTTACCTGATGTTTAATACTCTCTTTACAATCATAATATCAAATGTCTCCTATCATTTTGAGATTTTTACAATTATTATAGCATAATTGCATGATTAAATGTATCGACTTGGTATGACACATATAATGTCCCCAAATTATATACTTTTTTGTATGACTCTACGCATTTATGAAACAACATTCTTCAAACCGTGCATCACACGGGTGAAGTTACTAGTTTTGTATAATTCAAAAACATCCATAATTCATCCTAATGTTATTAATTCAATATGAGTTAAATGATCTCAATTTAATGTACCAATGTTCTAAAAAAAACTCATACTCCGTATTTCAGAACAACGGTTAAAATAAAGAACCCAACAAAACCATGGCGTGGAACTGTTCTCAGAAAAAGGCCATTAATTCTCCACTTAGACGAACCGCCGAGCAAGTATCCGATGATCCTATGATTCAAGTCGAAGGTAAAAAAGAACCACATCCCCTCTTCCATTTAACGAAGCGATCAAAGCTCTCATCTTTGCATTCATGGAGGAAACAGAGACTCATAAAGCTATGCTCACGAAAGAAAAATGGAAGAAAGAACAAATCTTCAACTCAAACAAAGTGCCACCCTTCCCCACCCAGCATCCCTCTTTCGGTGTGGTTAAAGCAAACTATAGATTCTTCGTAATTGAACACCAGCCCCACAAACTATATTGACACATTCTCAAAATTGGTTGAATCCCTTAATTTCAGAGCCTAGAGATTCTTCGTTTCAAACATTATTGGCATTATTATAATCAAATCAGAAGACAATGAACCAGAAATTGAACACATTTGCATCACTTCATTGCCTAGTTCCAATCCAACACAGTCCCTTCCTATTTCCTATGGGCATCCCAAAGCCAAGTCAAGTTATTAATCAAAACATACATCCAGTCCTGGGCTTCTTTTAGTATTAGATCAATGGCTGAGAAAATGATTGCAGCCGAACTCTCTGCTAAAGGTACATCAAAATATATAATTCCTCTAGAAATTTCTTAAAAGAGAAACTGATTGAGAAATAAAAAACAGAGTATTTCACATTCTAAACTTCTATTTTGTATGCACAAAATAAACATATAATTTCGAATGCAATGAATGAATAGTAGTAGAAACTTTGAATGAAGCCATCAGACACCAATGATTCTCCACATAAGCTTAAAGCTAATAATACGGTCCGCATCATGGTTCGATCTAAGAGATCGCA